ACTGGAGTGGAAAGGTGGGAATGAAGAATAGATAGATAGATAGATAGATAGGTCTACAAAATGAACAAGGAACAGTGTCCCGGGATCAAGTTTCTCCGGGATCTGAAGGAGGTAGCACCAAAGCTTATGGAGAAGGAAAGAGAGGAGAACTTGTCAACTAAAGCATGTCTTGTTATACAGAAGAAAATGACTCAGGGAATCTCAGAGCTGCCCTCAGAAATAATTGATTACACTCTGCGGCTGTGTTAATCTTTCCTGGATCCTGACTAGAGTGGTCGCCAAAAAAGCCTGGTTGTTTATTTCACAAATATAAATTTTTTTCTCTCCAGATACAAATCTTCTCAACAGGCAATTTTTTGAGGGGCTATTCCTGTCTGTAGGCCCTTTAAGTAGCTATCTAAAAATAGGTCTTAGTTTGTTACAATAACATAGAAAAGGATTGTCTTTTTTCTTTTGTTGTTATTAAAAGTATGTAGGGAAAACAAGAAATTAGACATTATTCAGATTTCATGACCTTAGGCTAAAAATAATTGAGGGCCATCTTAGATCTTTTTTTTTTTTTACCTATAAAGTTGCCCTGTTTATAGATTAGAAGAAAAATAGCCCTGCTCAATGATGAAACTCCAGTATGTATGCCTTATCAAGGATATGTTTGTGCACTAAATTGTGTGACTTTCAATAAAAATAACTTTCATGACAGTCATACCAGGAGAGAGATCTGAGAATCAGAAACAGACAGACAGACAGACACAGAGATTAGGCATGTTAGGTTTTTAAGTTAAACATCTGATTTCCCTAAAAACCAAAAATGTGGCAATTGTTATCTCTGACATTTAACTTTGACTCTTCTTGGACACACACGTGCGCTTGTGTGTGTTTTAATTGTGAAGACACATCCTTATTCTTTCAAATGCACTTTTGGATTGTGATTATCTTTTGTTTGGTACAGAACTATTTTTGTGAAAGGATAAGCCAAACATTCACGTTATTTTTGAATATGAGTTCCATCATGGAACCAGTGCGGTGCAGACAGCTTGAAACCAAACGTTTCGAAAGGATGTGGCTAATGAATGCATAAAAGTACATCTATGGCTTGCGAAGTTCTGTTCTGGTGACTTTAACCTTGAACAAGAGCCACACGGCAACCTGTGACCACGGTGGATAATCATGAGCTAAAAGCCCTAGTGGAAGCGAATCCGTCTCAACCTTAGCAGTCAGGTTTGACGTTACTATTCCAACAATACTGGACCATTTGAGACAAACCAGCAAGGTAGAGGCTGGATAGATGAGTTCCGCATGGATTAAACAAGTGTCAGAAGAGAAATCGTTTTCAAGTGTGCCTTTCTTTGCTGCTACAACATAACGGCAAACCATAAGACCATATTGTTACGTGTGGTGAAAATGGAAATATTTGGCACAAGGCTGGATAAAGATGAAGTGCCAAAACCAAATGTTCATGGGGGAAAGTTCATGGTGTCTGTTCGGTGGTTTAGTACTGGCTTTCTCCACTATAGCTTCATGAAACCTGGTCAACTGATTGTCTATCACAATCAAAAGGATGACATGATGAGGTTGCATGTGATTAAGACGCAAAGATCATTCAACAGAAGCAGGCCAATCCTCTTGCAAGACAGTGATGTCACACAAAGCTGCTCAAATTACAGAAGCTGGATTTGGAAACTCTATCCTCCACCATCTTCACCAGACCTTGCACCAGCTGACTGCCACTTCTTCTGGGCTTTGCACGGCTTCTTGAAAGCAAAACTTCTTTTCCAATTTTATTGTCACTCACTCTCTAGGCTTCTTGACCGCTGGGACACTCAGGTTACCGTTAAGATGGCACAACTGTATTGATAAGTTTAGGGGCATACTTTGATTAATCATATTGCCTTTTGTCTGAGATATAATAAACTAAACTTTTAATTTGCAATTAGACATTTCACATTTAAAGACCTAATAGCATTGCTGCAGGTACATGTATTAACATGGGTGAGCACTGTCAGAAGAGCAATTTAAAGCACAGGTCAGCCTGGCCATGGAGGAAACAAGAGCTGGTTTGAAAGGTTGTCTGTCTCAGGAAGAACTTTCAAACTATATTTAGCCCCTTAAGTGATCATCCATATGTTACATTGTATCCCACAGTCTTACCCACCTTTCAGGGGTGCCAGCCCTGAATAGCAGATAAAATTGTAACTGGAACAAAAATGGCTTGTTCTTAGAAGGGGCTCAGCTCTTGTTTAGAATGTATAGGAGGGGAACATGAAGCAAGTATTCTCTCTTCTCAGTCTACAGAATGTGGGCTCCCTGTGAGAAGGGAAAATGTAGAACACTCACGGGTCACATCTCATTCTAGTGACAACTAGTTGGGGTTATGTCCTCCTTATATTTGTGCAAAGACACTCAGTCAAAGTTTGGCTGCCTTTTTATTTTTAACTTTAGAAAGATGTGAAGAAGGATTGGAAAGGAAACCATTTACTGAATAACTCGTGACAATGATTTTCATTCTAAACAGATTTTTGAAAGTGTTATTCTTGGCCATTATCTAGGACTCTAAAATATAATACTTTCAAGGTAGTGCACCATTCATTATAATGATATTCTCTTTGTAATAGATTTAGAACTTGCCTGATTCAGAAATAGGATAAAATTGAACCTGCTAAAAATTTTGCTGAAGTTATGAAAAAATAGTCATTGCTTTAGAAGTTTCCAGAAGATACAATGGATACCACAGTGGCAATAGTTTATGTTGCTTGCCCATTGAAAACGTCTTTGCTTTGCTTTGGGAAATCAATTTTAAGAATTTATATTGATACAAGGTAACTCCATGAATAGAATAGTATTTCCAGCAATATTAATTTTCTGATAATTGTAAATAAAAAAAGGAAGTTCCAAAACCAAGATCAGGTCATGCAACTGCAAACCAAGATACAGTAAAAATGTTTGACTTTTATTACACATTATTTTTAGTTCAAAAGAAATATATTTGGGGCTTTCAGTACAGAATTTCATTTTTCCTATTTTATACTAGTGTAACTAATTTTTTCAGTCTCGATTCTTGGATATTTTTAGAGCAAATATTCTTTTTTGATATATGCCAAAAATGATTTTGCAAAGAAGATATATACTATAAAATAATCATGCCATAGAGATGATCCTTTGCCACTGACAGTGATACTGAAAATTGTTTATAGCTGAATTATATCATGTAGAGCCCTTTAAAGTATTGTACTCAAACATGTGAACTTGGTTCATCTTAGTTTTTTAACTTTAAAGCTGTTTCTAGTCCGTAATATTCCTTTATATGTTTGTTATTTTATTTCACAATATTCTTCTAAGTGATAGTAATAGTCTATGAGTTAAAATACCACCTGCTGAACAATCAGTTTTCATTCCTTTCTGTAGTTGTTAAAAATTCTCATTTTTTAGTGTAAAATATGTATAAACAGTTATGATGTAGCTTTATTTTGTAATACACTGGCCCAGATGTGCTCCTGTTATTAGAGAAGTTTATGTAAAGAAAGAATACATTAAATATGGTTTTCCTTTTAACATCATTTACACTTTCCTTATAATTTTTCTATGCAAGCTCCTTTTTAACAGTAAGTATGCTACCTTATTTTATGCATTATGTCTTTAGGACCCTCTGCTATTCAGAGTAGGCACCTTTAAAGGTGATTTATAGAGCACCTCTTTTTCCAAGAATTAGGTAGCTTCATACAAAGTACGTTCACATTTGTTTCCTAAAATAGAAGTCAAAATTACTTACTTTTCTTTTTTTTAATAAAAAATACAGTAGTAAATGCTACTTATTCTGCCTAAGACAGAATTTCTTCAACAGATTTCACCACTCTTACCTGTCCTCATCATTTGTTGCCCAAGTATTGTAGGACCTGAGATTCAAACGACTTTTCTCCACTTCTGTATTTTCCAAAAGCGTAACTAAATGTATCAATACGGTTTTGACAAATCTAACCCTTCATTGGACTATGCCTTACTATTGATTACTGAAGACTAAAATTTCTTTTTAACCCAGAAGCAAACACTTGACCACTTCACAGTCATTAAATAATGTTTTCAGCAACAGTAAAATCTTACAAAAAACCCAAGAAGTCTGCACAGTGAAACCTGCACACTTTGGGAATCAAGGTCATTGTTTTCTTTGCTTATTCCACAGCTATCAATGGCTATGGAGAATAGAAACCTAGAAACAAATGACAAGAAACACAACACTGTTGAAGACCGCCCATGACAGTGTGTGCAGCTGGCAGCGGGGAGAAAAGTGATGCCCAGGACTGTATGTTGAAAACCCCTGCGGTCAAGCGCACCCGGAGTCGCACAGCTTCCGGAAGTGTCGCAAACACCGGAAGGGTGCGCGCTAACGACCCGCCCCTCAGAAGGCCCGCCCCTCCTAAGCTCCGCCCAGAGTTCGCTGCCGGGGGTTTCCATGGGGATGTAAACAAGCCTCAACTGTCTGGCTTACAACTGCCGGGTGCTGGCTTTGCATTCCACCCTCTTGGGGGCGCTGTGTGGGACTCCGCGGAGGAGCCGGATGTAAGCGCCTGGCGCTGAGGCTGACCCGAGGCGCGCGTTTCCCGCGTTTCCCGTCGGTGACATCTTGGCGGCCCGCCCTGGCACTTCCTCCCCTGCACCCCATGACCCGCGTCAGCCTCTTGACCTCCGCTCTCGTGGCCTCCGCTTCCTGGACTCCCAGCCCGCGCTTCCTCCCTCCGGACGGCTGGGCCCCGGCCTAGTCAGGAACTGAAGAAGATGCGCCCGGACTTCCCCTGGCGCCCTCTGCCTCGTTAAACTTCGGTGGCGTTTGGAGGCCTGGGCTGGAAGCTTCACTCGCTGCGTAGAAATCGGCCCTGCTCCCTTCCGAGGACAGTTCGTTCGTTACCTGGTACAAGTGGCTACTACCGCCGGCGTCCCAGGGGGTTCTTTCAGTCACAAAAAAAGCCGTGGCCACGCTCTTCTGACATCTGCCCTGCCGAGTGTCCGCGATGCTGGGCCCTGAGGGAGGTGAAGGCTTTGTGGTCAAGCTCCGCGGCCTGCCCTGGTCCTGCTCCATCGAGGACGTGCAGAACTTTCTCTCCAACTGCACGATTCACGATGGGCCCGGGGGCATCCACTTCATCTACACGAGGGAGGGCCGGCAGAGTGGGGAAGCTTTCGTTGAACTTGGATCAGAAGACGACGTAAAAATGGCCCTGAAAAAGGATAGGGAAAGCATGGGGCACCGGTACATCGAGGTGTTCAAGTCCCACAGAACCGAGATGGACTGGGTGTTGAAGCACAGCGGTCCCAACAGCGCCGACAGCGCCAACGACGGCTTTGTGCGTCTTCGAGGACTCCCCTTTGGATGCACAAAGGAAGAAATCGTCCTGTTCTTCACGGGGCTGGAAATCGTGCCTAACGGAATCACGTTGCCTGTGGACCCTGAGGGCAAGATTACCGGGGAAGCTTTTGTGCAGTTTGCCTCCCAGGAGTTAGCCGAGAAGGCCCTGGGGAAGCACAAGGAGAGGATCGGGCACAGGTACATCGAAGTGTTCAAGAGCAGTCAGGAGGAAGTTAGGTCCTACTCGGACCTCCCTCTGAAGTTCATGTCCGTGCAGCGGCCGGGGCCCTACGACCGCCACGGCACGGCCAGGAGGTACATGGGCATCGTAAAGCAGGCCGGCCTGGAGAGGATGCGGCCCGGCGCCTACAGCGCAGGCTACGGCGCCTACGAGGAGTACGGCGGCCTCAGCGACAGCGGCTACGGCTTCGCCACCGACGTGCTGGGGAGAGACCTCAGCTACTGTCTGTCGGGGATGTACGACCACAGGTACGGGGACGGCGAGTTCGCGGTGCCCAGCACCACCGGGCACTGCGTGCACATGAGGGGGCTGCCGTACAAAGCCACGGAGAACGACATTTACAACTTCTTCTCGCCGCTCAACCCGGTGCGAGTGCACATCGAGATCGGGCCGGATGGACGGGTGACCGGCGAGGCAGACGTGGAGTTTGCCACCCACGAGGAGGCGGTGGCCGCCATGTCCAAAGACAGGGCCAACATGCAGCACAGATACATCGAGCTCTTCTTGAATTCGGCCACCGGGGCCAACAACGGGGCGTACGGCGGCCAGATGGTGCAGGGGCTGGGGGTGTCGGCGGTGCAGGCAGCGTACGGCGGGCTGGAGAGCCAGGCGGTGAGCGGCTGCTACGTGGCGGGCTACAGCGGGCAGAGCAGCCTGGGCGGCTACGACTAGCTCCGGGGGAGCTCGGGGCGCTTTCAATCAAACCTCCGCAGGCGGCCCACAAGCGGCGAGAGCAGATGGAAGGAAACTGTGGGACCCATTTTGCACCGTGAGTTTGTGAACTCCAGATTTAAAAATTACTGCTGCAGTGTTTTCTCCTGCAGACTTTTCTAGCGTGTGACGGTCAACTAAAACGATTTTCGGCTTTTCTCAATCAGCCTTCCCGTAGTGGACTTCAGAGCGATGTCATCTGTGTTTTAGGGTAAGGACGGACCTTTTGCCACCACATTGCAGTGAACACGTGGGGAGATGCGCTGTTTTGGAAACTCCCTGATGCAAAAAGAAATATTTCTGGTTCATTCTCGTTTATCTTTTCACTTAAAATCTTTGCGGTTAAGTTTAAGCTTTTATTAAGAGTTTTGAGAGTTGAGACAATACTAATAGTAATGCTGGAGGAATTGGTGAGACCTTGAACTTCAAACTGTCTCTGTACTGCGATTTCCTTTGGGGTGAATTTCGTTAAGTGAAACTTGTTAAAATGTTTGTTAACTACATTTCTTTCTTAAAAATATCTGTATTTTTCACAATGACTGGCACAGATTATCTACTCAGCAAAAGGTAGTAAAACACCTGGTGGTGGAAGAGAATTCATTTTAATCCTAATGTATTTTAGTGTGGATTTTAAAATAATTTTAAACATCAAACCTATGATCTCCCTTATATTTGTACAATATAAGAATAAAAAAATAAAATATAATAAAAATGTTAAAAAAATACTGTTGAAAATATTTTTTTTCCAAAGCACTGAATTCACACAAAAGCATGTTTTCCAAATGGCAAGTCTATTTTTGTAGTTGAGCAGATACTGATATCACAGAGAATCAGGTTATTGTACTCAGAAGCAGCAATGGTAATGAGCACTTTTCTACAAGGACAAGAATACTAACTTCTCTCAAAATACAAGCAGACACTTCCTAATCGAATTAATTATTTTTTTGGTGTAGCCTTACAGCTCACATGTTTTAATTTTAACTAATTGTTCTTTCTTGTTCTTTTACTGCAAGCCCAGGAGAAAAACAGAAATATGTAAACACTGTGCTATTTTCACAAAAGAAGTAGAGGGGACTTAGGTTCATACAAAACAACTACTTATTAATGATTTTTATAAGACCTGGGATTTTACAAGTCCTTGTATTATAAATTATGAAAATAAAATATTTGCTTATGTCTGAAATACATAAATATTATATAATATACATATGTGTATATAATATATAAATATTGTAATTTATATATTATACATTTATATATATTTATATAAAATATATAATATTGATAAAATAGTTTATAGAATTTATATATTTAAAGTATTTGCTCATGTCTTAAATATATAAATATTACATATAATATACATTTATGTATATATTATATTTTATATATAATATATTTATATAATATGTAAATATTATATTTTATATTAATATCATTATGTATTATATATTTAAGACATGTGCAAATACTTTAAATATATAAATTCTACAAACTGTTTTACCATGTTAATGTTTTACAACATACATAGAATCCCATCTAATACTAAAAAATAAGAAATTAGTGAACCAGGCATTTATCAAACAAGTTGACAAAATAATTCATTTGCATTATTGGTTAATTCTTATTCTCCACTGGAAGTTGTGTCACGGCCAATGGAAAGACCCAGGGGAAATGTAGAAGGAAATTTAGAAATGATGAAAGGCATGGACAGAGCACCTTGCTTCTTTCAAAGTAACATTTCCCCATCACTGGGAGCTAGTAATTTCCTATTAGCAGAATTTGATTCATTCATCTTTCAATTTTCCCAGCCTCCTAAGGTACTTGATATACAAGTGTATGTTCAAATGGTTATCATGGTGACGGCAACAAAGGAAAGTGGCCCTTTTTGAAGAGACCAAGTCTTGTAAAACCTGGTAGTAATTTTGTGTGTTATGTAAAACATTGATCCCCACAAACTTGGCAACTTTAAAACAACTACATGTATTATACTTTCTGTTGGTCAGCAGTCCAGGCACAGATTAGTGCTGCTTAGTGTTTCTAAAGCTGCCAAGGTCAGCTGGTAGCTAGACTAGAAAAATCCACTTCACTACCTGTTTTGTGGTTTTCCTTAAGGTCCTTGTGTCTGAAGGATTCCTAGCAACTTGCTTCTTAAAAGTCGGAAATGGGAGTCAAGAGGCTCTGAACTGTGTTTCCTAGCAAAAGTATGTCTTACCAGAACGTAATGGAATAAAATTCTGTTACCCGGGAGGCACCTGTGGCTCAATGGGTAGGGTGCCAGCCCCATATACCGAGGGTGGCGGGTTCAAACCTGGCCCTGACCAAACTGCAACAAAAATTGCTGGGTGTTGTGGCGGGCACCTGTAGTCCCAGCTACTCAAGAGGCTGAGGCAAGAGAATCACCTAAGCCCAGGAGTTGGAGGTTGCTGTGAGCTAGGATGCTAGGGCACTCTACTGAGGGCAATAAAGTGAGAGATTGTCTCTGTCCCTTAAAAAAAAAATTCTGTCACCTGTGGAATTTTAGTTTAGGAGAAAGTCATAGTCCTACCTACACAAGAATATGAGCTTATGTGAGTGCGGGGATGTGAGCAGGTGGGGATTGTGGAAGCCAATTTATATCTGTGCTTCTCCAAAATCTTGTTCCCTCTTCAATGGCCTCCCATTCAGAGCCTCACTTAAGCAAGTCCTGGTGGAGATGAAAGAAAGATAGGGAGTAAAGGACTGGCATTGAGGTTCCTCCTTACAAAATGATATTTAGAAAGTTTCTTATTTTAAAAGTCTGAATTTTATTATTCATTGGCATAGAATGGAAGAAAAGTCATACCGTTGAATGAAAGGTTATCTTTTAGCAAGCAATCACAACTGTGCAGGTAGCCAAATGAAATACAAGTTTATTCAGATAGACTAAAGTTCAAATGCAAATCAAGCTCTCTAGCATGTATGGAAGAGATCAAAAGTAAAAATAAAATAGTACAAGTTATTCAGGTTTTTCACTGCTAAATAGTCTTTTAAACAGGCCCAACCAATTTTAACTTCTTTGATTTACAATTCTACTTCTTTTTATTGTAGAAGTACGGCATATGCCTTAGCCATGCAACCGGATGTAAAGAATAAATTTTAATAAAGAACTAGAGCAATGCATAAAATATTTCAGAATAATAGATTGTAACTAACCTGTTTTATAATTCTAAAATTAGATTCAGGTAATGCCTTTATTTAAGTTTCAAATAGAGCTGTTGACACTATTTACATTTTTTTTTTCATTTTTAATCAAAAAGTCACAACACAGATACTGAATGAAAAATTAGTTTGACTAAAATAATCAACTTTTATCTCAGTTTTATTAACTTAATTTTTTTCAAAATGGTATGTAAGTATCCCATGTAATATACACACATACAATCTTCAGTTTTTTAATGTGTCCTGTTTTATTCCACAAAAGCTAGTATTTTTTAAAATAAAATAATTATTTAGAAAAATAACTGGAGGCCGGGGACCACAGCTCACGCCTGTAATCCTAGCACTCTGGGAGGGTGAGGTGGATGGATTGCCGGAGCTTGCAGGTTCAAGACCAGCCTGAGCAAGAGCAAGTCCCCACCTCTAAAACATTAGCCAGGTCAGGGACTAATAATTCCAGCTACTTAGGAGGCTGAGACAAGAGAATTACTTGAGCCCAAAAGTTTGAGGTTGCTGTGAGCTATGACAGTACAGGACTCTACTGAGGGTGACAAAGTGAAACTCTGTCAAAAAAGGAAAGAAAAAATCGGATTTGTCTATAAACTGTAGTTCATGGTAATAAGATAACACACAAGAACTTTTTTGAGCGGCCCAATACTGTTTTACCATTTTTAGAAAGCTAGCCTTTGTTTCTGCTGTCCAGTTCCCAAATATATCCTATAAGACATCCCTCAGAAAACCTGTTTTATTTCTTACCTCTTCCTTCCCCTTCTTTAGTTCTCTTATTCAAAAAGTTTTATTATTTGCCAACTAAGACTTCATAGATTTCCTTAACTATTTTCCTTAATTTATTCATGGCTACTCATATCTTGTCACCACCTACTGTGACTCCCTATCTAATCCATTCCAGGTTACGTCTAATGTTGGTGGCTTTAAGATATTGCCGCTTACCCAATATGAAACCATAGTTGTGGGCAAAATATTTCCTCTACAGAAGCGGTGAGAGGATTTCAACCTGACAACTTGATAGGAGACTAAAAGATAAACTACATGAGCTCTCAAACAGTCGCTAATCTGTCGATCTATTTCAAAATGCAGCATATTGCACGGTCCAGTTCTGATTGCATGCTGGCGTGGATTCGAGGAAAACTGAAAATCGGGGCCAATAATCCAATTCACAAAAAGTAACAATAATTTATTCTACAAAAAGCTGACTGTGTGATCTGATCTCCTTTAGGCAAGAAGCAAATCAGGGGAAATGACATGATTATTAGCAGGAAAGATGCGTCCTCAGGATGCAAGGTGAAGCTTGACTCTCAGATGGGGCTGGGAGCGTAGCTCACCGAATGACAGCTGGTTCTTGCGGGAAGCTGATGCCTGGCGTCCTGTTCAGGTGCGCTGCTGGTACACCTGCCGCCAAGTCCTGCGCCATCTAGCGGCACAGTCGCAGGACTACGGGGGGGTCTTGACCCTGAAGCTTTATGATTACTTTCTTAAGAGTTCAATAAAATAAAGGGGGGAGGGGAGAACGTTGACTCAAGCAAAGGAGTCCCGTAAGTGTCAACCCTTAGGAACTGGGAAGGTTGACTTCTCAGTATGTGATCATTAGCTAATAGCAATCGCTTTGCCGCTTGAAAGCAGATAGAAAGTGAGTGACAAGAGGCTTTCATTCCCTCCCTCCCTCCCTCTCTCGACTCCCCCAAGATGCTATCCTTCTATATCAAGGCAGATGATAGAAGTTTAAGCAAAAATGTACTCCTCCTTGCCCGACCCGTGAGGTAAAGGTG